GAGTAAGGGCAATCTTAATAATTTTTGAAAAATTGGGGAAGCATTCGGGTTCTTGAAGAAGTTCGCGGTATAAATCAACCAAAGACGGCTTTCGTTCTTTCGTTTCCTTGGCCATTACACGCAACCGTACACTTTACAACCAAATATTTACACACCGCACCCCCCCCCCCCTACGACATCGGATTTGGACAAATCCAAAAACCCACTCTGGAGAATATTGGGGGGGCGGCTGCCCCCCCTCGCCCCCCCTTGCCGGCGCCACTGTGTCCGACCCAAACCACGGGCAATAGGACAGGTGTAGTGTTAATTAAGTAACTTACCCAAGGTTACGTCTAAATGGCAGTCGATCCAAATCTTGTTCGTAATAGGTGTAGTGTTGTTAAATAGAAAGTTAGAAATGGTATTATACTTACTCATGCATTATAATTATGTTTAAAAGATCAGAATATTCATAACTTCTTATTTTGTTTCATAAATAGTTCTTTAATATTCGAAACAAATTCCATATCTGCTTCGTCTGCCATCGCCATGTTTGCTCGTCCCAATCTACATGCTGCACGGCATTGCCGCCCCTCCTGGCAAAATATTGTTATTTGTTATTGCAAGCGAGCAAAATTAAGGAGAAAATAAGAGGGTAGGAACATTGTGGGCGTTTCGTGGGCGTGTCATCGTTCTGGGCGAATCGGCTTTCGCAATCTTGTATCACATGACTAATTCAAATTGTCATAGGCGGGAAGCAGCATTACGTCATCCCTACGTCAAATAAAACGTTATAAAACGCGTCCAGGATACATTTGTGCCATATATGGAAGTTATGGATACGTTTGTGCCATATATGGAAGTGTCACTGCATCCAGGTTATGACAACGATGTTCCTACCCTCTTATTTTCTCCTTAATTTTTCTCGCTTGCTTATTATTTTGCCAGGAGGGGCGGCAATGCCGTGCAGCATGTAGATTGGGACGAGTAAACATGGCGATGGCAGACGAAGCAGATATGGAATTTGTTTCGAATATTAATAAAGAACTATTTATGAAACAATCTCGTTCCCAGAGTATGCCTGTTCGCGGGTTACTGTAGGTTGTGGCATGACTCTGGGGAAATCGAATTTTTTTATCCAAAATGAGATAAATGGCGCATGCGCTTTTATTGCTTTTGTTTATTCCGCTTACTAAATTCGCGCGGGCACACTCTCACAATCATATTGTTTTAAACAAAGATTCTCATCAGAATATAGTATACAAAATGGGTTTTTATGCGTTTAAAGGTGCTTTAAATCGTACTACTATTAAATTATATTCAATGGCAAATACTGAAAGAACTATGAAAGTTGTTCTAGCGAAAAGAGGGCTTGAATATTCGTTAAAAGACGAGACATTCAAATGTATCTCGGCCATAATGTAAAATGGTGAAGATGTTTTGGTTGTTTTGCCAACAGGTTATGGGCTTATTATGGCAAATATTAAAATATTTCAGCTGCTACCTGACGTGTACGACGTGTTACTTGGCGTAACTAATTCTATCGTGATAGTAATATCTCCACATGAATGACCAAGGCATTTCGCATGCATGATGTTAAATACAAGGCCATTCTGTGCTACACTATATTATGGTGATGCAGCGATATCAAATTATCATTGGATCGACATGAGAACCTGACGTATAAGCTGTTCTATATGCACCCAGAAATGTGTGTCTGTGACAAGAAAATACAAGCTTTTTTGAACTGTATACTGTAAACCTCTGAATATAATGCTCACCTCATTCCAAATATAAGCCCCCCCAAATATAAGCCCCCCTGAATATAAGTACCCTGAATATAAGCCCCCTGAATATAAGCCCCCTGAATATAAGCCCAGTATCCCACTATGTTATTTAACATTGACATTGTCTTTTAATATAGCAGAGAACGATATTTGAAACACTCGTGTCATTGTCTTTATAGCTTACTATGTTAATGGAGTGTGTTATTAATACATGTTTATTTTCCTGTTTATGACTGATTTGTTTATTACTAACACAATTGATCGTCCACTTACAAAAGAATATAAGCCCAGGGCTTATAGTCAGAGGTTTACGGTATTATATATCCCATATTTTAACAATAAACACATTATTTTTTATATTATATTACATTAACATATATACATGGATCACATATAAAGTCTTTAAATGACAGTACATTGTGTTTGTAATTATAATTACCATAATTACTTGTGTCGAAAGTAAGAAATGAAGTGAAAAAATCCATATATATTTGTTAAAAATTTCTTGCAGTGGGTATCTTCCATTTGTTTTTCATGCTTCACACTGTCTATCTTTGAACATTTAATCAGCAACTAATTATAGGCAAGGATATATTTACTAGCTCATTTCTCCATATTACCAGGTACATAACATGCAAATTATACATCAACCTTGCAATCCAGGCTTTAACCCCTGCAGTTGCCCCTTCCTGCAGCATGCTTGGGAAGGGAGAGGAAGGAATGGAGGTACTGTAATTTCTATATTTAGCCCCCTTCTCTTCAAGCCCCTCTCCAATAACCCCCCCCCTCATTTGGATACAAAAATCAAAAAGCCCCCCTCCTCATTTGGATACAAAAATAAATAAGCCCCCCTCCTCTTTTAACCATGCAGCCCTCATTCAATTTCTTAAAATCATGAAATATATTGCATTTCTGCAGTATTTTAATAAAATATAGTACAACGGTAACTCTGAATATGGACATTTTTTAATGGTAGCCAGACTTATTGCATATATTTAGAACAAGTGCCCCCTCAATGATGCTTAGGAAACAATAGTGAGCTTAAGCAAGTGACGTTTTTGACAACACGGACGTCGAGCGGAAGTAAAGTTGACGTTTTTCACCAATCACAGCCCTTGACCCAGTCTTCTGACGTTACTCATGCCGTTCGTGTTGTCAAAAACGTCACATGCTTAAGCTCACTAATAATACACAGGAGGCTTGGTAGTTGATACAGAAATTAAAGTAGTTATTTGATTGAAACTGGTAGCTATTTCAATTCTACTGTCAGTATCTCCTTTTATATATAATTGGATTAATTGCCAATATATTCACATAGTATAATAGTTTGGAAATGGAATCAGTACTTGTATATTTTTAGCAAATGAGCATTGTTATTGATCAACAATGACTCTTATTGCTATAAACAACATTGTTTCACATAGTACATAGCAACAGACAAGGAAACATCTGTATTTAAATTCACTACTTATTTTTTATCCAGACACAAATTGATGTAAAAATTGTTTCAGGTTTGGCTTAGTTATAGCCTTACATCAGGCTATTCCATTTAATATCCATACCCCCCCCCCCTGTCGAGGATCCCTGGAATTCTTCAGGGGTAAAGTGTTTTGAGCTTGGAATTCTTCAGGGGTAAAGTGTTTCGAGTTTGGAATTCTTCTGGGATAAAGGGTTTTGAGCTTGGAATTCTTCAGGGGTAAAAGGTTTTGAGCTTGGAATTCTTCAGGGGAAAAGGGTTTTGAGATTGGAATTTTGGAATTCTTCAGGGGTAAAAGGTTTTGAGTTTGAAATTCTTCAGGGGTATAACCATGAAAAACATGTATCCTCGACAGGGGGTGTACAGATATTAAATGGAATAGCCCATCATGCTGTCAAGTGGCAATCACTTACAAAGCAAATCGATAACCAAATGTTTTACAACCTGAGGAACTTCTTAAATCAATTATTCTATAATTTATACAGATGCTACAAAAACACCTGGCATCTTAAATTTATATAGATAACTCCATTTACAAAAGCACAAAGACCACGGGCTACAACATGTTGAGTGTTGACCATTGACCATAATGTACTGTATTGTTTACAGCTTCAAGTTTTTAACACAAGCAAAAGCTGTCACTCGAAAGTCCTGGCAACAATATGTCAATTTAACAAAACGACAACGTGTACGATGATTTCATTTAGCCAACTGGGCCCAATTCTTTCATGGTTATAATGAATATACTCGTACTGTAGATCGATAAAAAGTCATTCATAAATACCATGCCATTTTGTAAGTATATACCCAACGTCCCAATACTTTTTCATACGATTAATATCATATCCTTCGATTTATATCGTTTGATTTCGCATTCCAAATATGATAAACATTGACTGATTCTCTCTTCGGCGTCTTCGCGTATGTCCACGCGTAATTCTCGCAAAAAACACGCATTAATTGTGTCGGCAGCATTGATGATCACGACAGCCAATCAAATAACGATTTCGATTCGATTTCCCCAGAGTCATGCCACAACCTAACCCGCGAACAGGCATACTCTGGGAACGAGATTGTTTATGAAACAAAATAAGAAGTTATGAATATTCTGATCTTTTAAACATAATTATAATGCATGAGTAAGTATAATACCATTTCTAACTTTCTATTTAACAACACTATACACCTGTCCTATTGCCCGTGCCCAAACTCAAAGTTATCGAACATTTTGTCAGACGACTCTCTGACCAATATTTTAATGCCGGGTTGGCTGGATGTTCAATACAAAGCCGACACACACATATTCCCCTTTCGAAGTGTTTTCATTTGATGATGGTCAATGATGAAAAAGCTTTTTGTGAAGGCACATTGCCTTTCTTCTTATTTGACTGTATCCTTATAAAAAGCTGTATTTTATTTCAGCTTGAGAACCTTGTACATTCTCCTGAAGAGGTACTTAGACAGTCTATGTTCCCTCGTGTTCATCCTCCAGAAGATAATAAGTTCTCAAAATGGTGAGGTAGCTTAGTCTAGTCTAGTATATATAGTTCCATCAGATGATCAGAGTAATGCAATATACTGTACTGCGCAGTAGTCTAGTATATACATTTGAGAAAGTGTGACAAATGGCATGTATAAATTGGCCACAGACGAGAGAACCGTTTCCGCTGCCGAGGCTTGTTGACACTTTTAATCATAGTTCTGCGCAATGTACGACGTTGTATATAAAGGGAAAAGTGCGCACGCGATTGAAGGCAGTATATATAGGATGTGAAAGTGCTGTATATGATTGAAAATGAAAAAGTAATTATGAAAGTCTCTGCACTTCTATTAAATCAAACGAATGAAAATTTTCGCTAACTCTTCAGTCTCAAAAATATTTTAAAGCGCCACTATAACTCCAGGTATGATTTTTGGTGTGTGTAATATTTGGATCATTCCAAGAAGAAAAGTAATTATGTACGGTGTCGTCAGATATTTTGTGGAAAATTGGTCAAGATGAAATTTTTGCTATAAAATATGTCACATTTCCTCTTAGAATGACCAGCGAATATTACATGTTCCAAAAATCATATTTGGGGTTAGTGGCACTTTAAAGATATTTTCAACATGTCGTGAAGAGTGTACTGATTCAAGTGACTGTTCTGTCACCACTTCTTTCAATCGTTTTAGATTGATTTTTGATCGTTGGGCTAATTGAAAGAGTCTATATAGGGCGTTGAAAATCGAATTGAATGTAAATGAAATTTAGGAAATAGTGTGACAGTGATAGATTCTGTTGATGATTTTCAATCTTCTGATTGTTCAACTGGAATTTTCTTTAGGTGTCTACTGAAACCAAAAACGGTCGCGCATCCTAATTATATTCCATTCTCGGAAAAAGTGACTAACCTGAAACCGGACATTTGTAGTGGTTAGTATTTAATTTTTTAAAAATAAATTGCTGCAAGTTATCGAATTTTTCTTGTCCTACATATAAGCTCTACATGGGCTTTTGTGCATATTTAAAATATCGAGTGAATATATTTGGTATTTATATAATATACCGAGTGAATGATTCCAAACCGCATTAGCAGAATATTCTGCCTGCCACAGCTGTGTTTCGAACCCTAGCTACCATGCAAGTGAACAATTTCACAACATCATATATGTCATCATCATATATATATATATATATATATATATATATATATATATATATATATATATATATATATATATATATATATATATATATATATATTGTTGTCTTTTATGGTATATTTATTCCTCAGATGTGGAAGCTCATCATCGGTAGCACTGTGCTGATGAGTTCCAAAAAGGGCGAAACGGCTGTCCATAGTTACGGTTGTCTGAGCTTTCATTTAAAGGCCACTATAATGTCTTTACTTATACATGCTTTATCGCCGCTTCTAAACTGTGAAATGCAGTGAGCGTGCGCCTAAGGGCTAAAGGCATATATAACTAATTATAGGTTTGATTCACGAAATGCTAGAGTAGATAGAGCAGAAATAGTCGTTTTACCTCAAAAGGTAATTGCCTCTGCATGTCACAGATTTAAATCGGCGCAAAGGCCTATAGGCAATTGTGCCCCAAGCTCACTACCAGCAACTGCGGACAGCTGTTTCGCCCTTTTGGGGCTCGTCAGCGCAGTGTAGCTGATAGTGAGCTTTTCATCCGAAAAGTATTTAAACCTAATAAAACACTCCTGCTCGTTTTTTAAATAGTACTTCAAAAAGTCATTAATTATTCATGAGGAAAACACAAAGAAAAATCATAAGCGTGTCGTATCTTTATATGTGATAGCGATTTCCCTTACAACGAATTTTTTGAAAGTTACTTGGCCAATGAACTTACTAGATCGATCGTTTTTATAGCAATTTAAAACATTCACAGTGCGTGTTTTATCAGACCTGTCCATCTTTATTTCTGATAAAATACTGCTGCTCATGTTTTATCTAGTACATAAAATCTCCCCAGTTGCCGAGCAAAAAGCATGCATGATGCTAAATATAAATCTCGACTATGATTGGATAATGCGTAAAGGTGCTAATTACAAAACGTCAATCACCCTTAATGGGCGAAAACAAATTTGTCATAGCCATTTACATGGGCAGGCGTTTCTTCAAACGACGCCCTCTCTTCTCCCGCCCGCACAAAACGGCTGCTACACAGGCTATAGTAAGGCACCGCCTGTAATTGATATAATATATACATTTATTAGAGGATGGAGAGACGTCAGTTTCAATTGATGTTGAAAACCGACAGTCAATTAAAGATTCTTTACCAAGGTATGTAAAATAATTTACAGTTCCGTCCTAGTCTATATACGCTTGTGAAAAAACGCTTGGCGGGATATTTGAAGTGATGCAACAAAAACGAGATATAGACAAGTGCCATTTTTATCCAATTCATGCTGATCGATCCACCGTGGATAAAAGGCGATTTATACCAAGTGCTTTGAAATCCAAAATTGTCGAGATTAAAACCGAAACTATCGCGGCATTTGTGTTCGTTTGAACTTGTCTCTGAACTGGTTCCTTAGCCGGTATATAAAAACTTTAAGCAAGCAGCTGATGCAAACGTTCTGTAATTAAAAGTGTAGCTAATGACGTGTTATTTGCATGCAGTGACGTCGTTGTAAATAAATTGATTCGTTTTAACTTTTAAGAGATTTGATCAGTCTTGGTCTTGAAGAGCTTGGAAGACCTACGTCCCAGCTCCAACTACCATATCTGTGTCGAGAAAAGTCTGTTGAAACAGTTGTGTCATTATAGCATAAATCGGCTTTGTTGGCTTCAGTATTCAAAGATTGCGTTCGGAGGCCCTCGCGCAAGGCTAATCCTAACCTGCGATCAGGCCTATAAATAAATAGGCCTGACACAAATCGTAGCAAAACTCCATGCCTTACAACCGTATTTCGGTTGTAAATCTGATTGGTCTAGGAGACAAAAGATTTTTTAATCTGTCATTTGATTGGCTGGTGCTAATTAGATTATACCATTGTGGATGATATATTTTATAGTGATCGCAACTATAATTAGATTGTTGTTGTCGTTGTGTGAAATTTAAATTTCTCCTGCGACATTTTGATTGGATATACTAAATATAAACTTTGCTGTGGGGGTGGAAAGCTATTGGATTAATGTTTTTGCCTTTGGTAGTAATAACTAGATTTGGTTCGGTTATATGAACATTACATATTTATTAAGTGTTTCGAATATAAAACTGGCGTATATTTTCCTGCAAGTTGTTATCACCTGGTTAAAATATCACCATACATCATGTATCTGAGTTCTTTAAAGTCATGTCTTTGTTGAAACATCACTGTTCCGTGCAAATTACATGTACATGCATGTACATGTAATTACATGTCTTGACTAATTAGTCATGTTCTGTGCATCTGAAACTTTATAATTTATCAATTTTTAATATTTTGGGAGCAAGGTTATCAGCAGAAATTTAAATATTATCCAGTGTAGTTCGTGGAGTATAGGACTAATAGGAGTAATAATTATGTTTATTGTTAAATTAATTTAAATTAAATTAAGTAAACATAAATTAACATGTACATTATAACAGGAGATTACAGCTATAAATTTAATGTACTCATGCATCACGCAATATTTTAATATATTCCCATAAATTTCCTTTTCTTCCAACTTTTTAATGTTGTTCTGCTGAAGAAAAATATGGAAATCAATCAAATCATCTTTTGCGACTTTAAATAATAGCTTATTATATTATAATATTATAATACTTGAATTAAATATCAACATAATTTCTTGTGAATTCACATGAATAGTTTATTATATAAATGATAACAATTTAAAATAACTGCTTATTCTTGCAAAGTTAACTTAAACCATGATTATATATTGTCTCATTTTCTTACTCTTAAATTTGGTTCTCCATCGTTCATGCTCCCCCCCCCCCCCTTTACATTCAAATATGAACCTCAATAATAACATTTCACTTTTTCTGCAGTGGTACCCACTCCAAGTAGCGCTCCATGCCTGTAACAGCAGTCACTCTTCGCCTGTTAATTGCAGGCCTGAAGAAAACGATTCTGTTTTCGTTTCGAATACCATCCCGAAGACGCAGTTGAAAATCATTACCCAATTCTTTGATAACTGGAATCGTAGGTTTGTGATTGGTAGACCCACTTTCCGCCATTCTTTGATAACGATAGGCGTAAAATATAGCTCGAAGATAATTGTAGAATTCAGAAGAGTTATCTAGATATTCTATAACGATACTTCCGCCGCCGTCCTCCTTGGTAAATGGATACCTCTTTGTATCTTCAAACGCCATTTTCATTAACTTTGGTATTTGCAACATGTTTGAAGGAAATGAAAGGCCTCCTTCGGGAATTATATCGTCCCACCCTATGGTTTCGGTAATGATAGTTGCATGTTGATTGTCGCGGTTTAGAATCTGAGAACACAGCTTCAGCAAGTTTGGTAGAAATACATAGTCCATTAGGTTTGATGTTAGAATGCGATCATACACTGTGTCCACTTCGAGATGTTGTTTGATATCCATGCAATCGCTCAGTACGATCTGGAAACTGACTTGTTGCTTGGACAACTTTTTCATGACATTTCGTAGAATGCATTCAATATAATCACCATACATCGTAACGAGGCAACTGGATCTCTTGAATTTCTTCACGTCGAGATAGTCCCAGCCAGAGAAGGGATATTCTCCTGGTGGAATGCCATATGAATAAGGGGCATGTCTTGCAGCCAAATCAACACCAGTCAACGTCGGATTCTCAGAGAACGTTGGTGCTTGCGTTCGCTTAAAAACGCCGTCGCCTATCCATTTCTTTACCGTATTTGCATGTTCTACTGGCACATTTTTAATGTATCTGGAGTGTTGTGCGACAATGGCCAGATCTGAATTGACTACTTCTTCCCGTTGCTTTTGAATCCACTTGGTTCCTTGCACCCGCAGACCGAGCCATGTTTTCCATACTTCTTGAAGTTGTTTGAATTGCATTTCGTCGATTGTTATCAAACCAGCTGTTTTCAACTGCAGGTTCTGCGCAGACGCGAAGTGGATAAGCTCTTGAAGAGATGCATGAAGTGATTTATATGTTGTTTCGCTGAGTAGTACTGAATACCAAATTTCCGTTACTGTTTTCTCTATTGCTAAATCACCTAAGGTGAAAGAAAAAAATGCGAAAACGATCGTGCCGGCATACCTGGGGGTCTATATATGATTAAAAAATAATTGACATAAACAATGATAATATGTATAAGTAATAGTATGCTTTCGAGTGCAATTTGGGAAAAACACGCACGAGTGAGTTTTTTCAAAGACAATCAAAATTTGAAGTCTTTGAAAAATCCATTTGTTCAATCCTGGTCGCACTTCCAGCATTTTTATACCCAAAAATAATTGAAGGAATGCAATTTTAGCTATATATAGAATTATCAATTGCCGAAATATATAAGATGGTGTTTTTTTATGCCCCCTTCATGTCATCTTGACATAGTCTTTGAAATCATATTGTTTATTTATATTTCTCAAATTCATTAATAATTCATGAGTAATTAAACCAATAGCATGTAAGAATTCCGTCACAAGATGCTGTTTGGATACCGCGGTCAAACACCGTCAGAAACAGCACCACAAGAGTTTAGCTGCATACGTAATTAAGATATTTGATGAAAGTCACTAGTGTTTTCATCAAATATCTTAATTACGCATGCAAAATTACTTGAATGGAATTCCTAATTACGTTATGCTTGTTTAAGAATTCTATTCAAATCAGCAAACGAAAACATTCTGTTACGTCTCGATTCATTTGAGAAGCCATATAAACAACTCGAGCTCGTGTCTCACCGGGATATCCTGGTGAAACACTCGCTCTCGTTGTTCATATATTACGTGACGTATGTCTATCATCCGATCCCTGAGTTGTTGCATCGCTTAAATTACGCACGTGCAGTCTCCGATTTTATACTAATATATTTAGCGTTTTTGTTGTGGTACGTTAAATGGTAGATTGCTCATGCGTAACCGATTAAAGCGTAAAAAGTGCTCATGTGCAACAAGCTTTTACATCCCACAAGCAAAGAAGCAAATCTTTTAGTTTAAATTCGCTGATTGCATGTAGGGCATGTTTGTCCATTTTTAAGGTGGCTCCCTACAGTTAGTACAGTTTAAATACGATTTATATAGATCAGACTTCATCCTCGCGACCTGCGCGTGGAATCGTGTTTACTGTTCGGCAAAAATATTGAAACAAGCCGTGGGAAGTTTTTTGGCGTTTTTATCTACAAAGAAAGCCCCAGTTTTTCATTATAATCCTTTTTTTCTGAATTCGAACAGTACGTATGTTATTAACTAGTTTAACCTATCTTTTAGTGTGTTTTTACGTATTTACGTTCAGTATTGTCTTTCATATTGCTCAAAATTTTCAACTTGTTGTTTTGCGAGCTGTCAAACTGAAATGACACTGTCTTCTATTAACTCTTGAACAGTAGTGAACTGTTGCCGAAACTTATATAAGTTCTGTCAATCAATTCAATTTACAGGTATCGTTTTTTCTGCTAAATCAAATAAAACAGTTATGAGTTGTTTTATATGAAAAGTTAAACTTGTAGTTCGATGTTTTGAAAAGTTTTCACACCGATTTTAACAACAAAAACAAATGTAAACTAACACTGGATTTAATACAATGCCTATAATAGTGTTTTTTATTAGTATTTTCAAGATTAATATTTTATTTTCATGTCAAACAAGTCAGAAATATCTGTTTTCTTATGTATTGTAAGCCAAAAAGTTGAAATCACTATAAATCACACGCTACAATTTACACGCATGCGCAGATCGTGCTATGTCGAGTCGATTTTTTTTCATGCTGGCCACGCCGATTTTAGCGATGATTTTCTCGTGTTTTCTTCGGTGAAATTTTTTTAAACTTTGTATTTTTGTTATACAAGACTAGTGGTACAACATATCCAAATTTTAAGAAATTCTACAAATAACTTTTTCTGTAACCGTCATTCACGAATATCTCGAAAACTTATTTATAAATTCCCTTCAAATTTTGATATGTTTTTCCTTTATGGACCATAAATCTTCAAAAAAAATTTCAGAAAAATTCACCGAAGGAAAATATAGATATTGTCAATTTATTGTGAAATTAGACAATAAAAGTGCAAAAGATTAAACGTCATGGTTGCCATGGCAACACAAACACTGTTTTAATTTGTTCATAAATGGACAGCACACAGCTTCTGAACTTTCCTGGAAATGATCATATTGCCTTGTCTTAAGTGTATCTAATATAAATTCGGTTCAAAGCGAACGATACTCAAAATACCTAGAATTTTAGAGAACTGCAGGGAGCCACCTTAAATGGGAGCGCAACTATGCTATTACAAACTAATAGCATGGCTTTTCGGGAGATTAGTGATTAAATGACCCCTTACCCTCGGCAGGTTTGCGGAATTCCCTCGGGATTCCGCAAACCTGCCTCGGGTTACGGGGCCATTTAATCACTAATCTCCCTCAAGCCATGCTATTACTTATAAAAATAGCTTGCTATTTACGATTACTATTTACATTTTCTTATCCGAGTATATATTTATATAAATATATATACTCGGATAAGAAAATAACTATAGGTAGGTTTTAATAAAAGGTTTTGGGTGCGTTAGGCTGCCTGGTATGGCAAGGGTTTCAAATGTCTATACATACAACATAAGTCTATATGGGAGGAGATTATTTTGCATGTTACGTAACACGGGCCCAAAACAAATTATTATTATGCTACTTGCATGCATGGCTACATGACTGCAGTTCAATTCTTTCTGCATGCTTTCGATATTTTCAAAGAGAAACCGATGTTTGAAGTTCAATTAGTTTCATTTTTATTGCTATTAGTATCAATGGCAACGAATTTACAGCATTATTTATATTTAACAAATATAAAACATTTTCCGTGTTGATATACAGTTTTAGTATTTTTTCACAAGTGAGCATAACAAATCCTACAGGGTGATGGGTCAAATTTGACGTATTAATCTGTTATATTCACCTACAGGTGAATATAACAAAATCGAAATTTTCAAAATGGCGGTTAGCCGTTTTGTTGAAGTTAGTGATAAAGAAATATGCGAAATTAAAATGAATTCAGACCAGAAAAACACAAAAAAAACATAAAAAATATGTGCAAAAATACTAAAACAATTATTCGCCTCAGGCTCGGTGATTTTCTGGGAATATTATACCTCAAATTTAAATTGTCCAATCAGGAAGCTAGATTTGTACCACGTGAGCATGAAATTTATCATCGTATCGCGCTTACGTCATTCGTATTTGGTGCAGCAGGAAATTTCAGTCATATTCACCGGTGAATATGAGTCAAATTCACCGGTGAATATGATTCGCGTAGACCACGCGAGACAACACGCATGACAACAACATGGCCGACAAAGTATAAATAGTATTGATGAGTGATGAATAATCTGGGTAAATGATGTAAAACCTGGGGCTTTTTCAAAATTTTGAAGTAAATTTTGAAAAATGTTGTCATTAATATTCCAAACGATATGTGATTCGAAAGAAAAGCGACGATACTTGCGTTAATCCGAAACTAAAACATCGTATTCACGAAGGTATGTGTCAAGTTTTTATTTCTCAACTTGGAGGCTTTTAATTTTCGGTATAATATATCTTTTATAGACCCTCCGCTCGGGGGATTCGGCGAAATATTTCCCGAAGTGATGATATTTCGGGAAATATTTCGCCGAATCTCCCTCGCTCCGGGTCTATAAATGATAAATATTCACTTCGACTTCGTCACAGAATAAAAATCAGTAACAGAAGGGCCACTCAGCGGTGCAACGTGTACGCGTTTTTTTTTTATGCAAAAATATGCAGTTTACTGACCAGAAGGCGGAGCAGCCAGTCAGTGCAGCGTGTTTATTGGCCAGAAAATATCATTGATAGTGTCGGATATGCATGCCCCTCCAGTTACCAGGAGAGTGCGGAGTGAGCATGCACATTGGTTAACATCGGAAATTAAAAAGAAAATCTATGACAGGGATTGTTTAAAGAAAAAGTCAATCAAAACTGGATCTACTCATTTCTTTAATGCATATAGAAAGGCTAGAAATCAATTAAATAGTTTGATAAAATCTACCAAGGCCAAGTATTATAATGAAGCGTTGAACCAGTGTAGAAAAGACCCGAAAACAATGTGGAAAACTGTAAATCAATTAACAAATACAAAATCTAAGACGACAAATATTAATTAATTGATAATCAACCAAGAAATCGTAACAGAACCGAAAATAGCCGATTCCTTGAATACCTATTTTAATGAGATTGGTACTGTTTTGGCTAAAGATCTACCAAAAGGCAATAATTCATTTGAAACGTATGTCGTCCCTACCGATAAATCATTTGAAATTAATAGATTTTCATCAATTAATGTCAAAAACGTAATTTCGAAAACTAATACTTCTAAGGCAACTGGACATGATCGAATATCGCCGAAACTTTTAAAGGATAGTGCCGATATTATAGCTGAGTCGCTTACCGTTATTTTTAATAAGTCGATAGTAACCGGCATTTTTCCTGACGATTTAAAGGTGGCGTGCATATCCCCCATATATAAGGGAGAAAGTAAGACAGAATGTAGCAACTACAGACCAATATCTGTCATATCTGTAGTTGCTAAAGTATTTGAAAAACTAGTTTCAGGACAACTCATGGAATATCTAGAAACCTATCAGTTGCTGTCAGAGTGTCAAGTTGGTTTTAGGAAGAGAAGTTCGACTGTAACTTCTCTCCTTACTAATACGAACCAGTGGCATATAAATATGGACAAGGGACTTTTAAATGGCATTATATTTTTCTTGACTTAAAAAAGGCCTTTGATTGTGTGGACCATGCTATTTTGATAGAAAAATTAAAAAAGTTTGGCTGTGTTGGTAATACTTTAAATTGGTTCAAATCATATTTTACGAATATAGAAAACAGATGTGTAAAGTTAACCAAACGACATCAAAATGTCGAACAGTTTCTTGCGGAGTACCACAAGGCTCTAATCTTGGGCCAATATTATTTCTGCTATACGTAAATGATTTGCCAAATTGTTTAAAATCAACAACAGCCAGCATGTTTGCAGATGACGGTGGCCGGACATTTTGCCGAAAGACACTTTGCCGAAAGACATTTTGCCGAAAGACATTTTGCCGAACGGACATTTTGCCGACAGACGTTTTGCCGAACGGACGTTTTACCGAACGGTCATTTTGCCGAATGGACATTTTGCCGAACGGACAATTTGACGAACG